GTAACTGCAATTCATATCTTTAGAAGTTGTTGTCAACGAGGGTATGTCAAATTTGATTGAAAACTCATCTCTCTTAAGGTTCACCGTCGTCCTCTCTAAGCAAGCCAACGTATTTTTGATTTCGCTATCTCCGCCTGCTTTTATATCTTTGCTGCGCAGTTTTGTGGTGTTCTTAACGGGTTCTCAAAATATATAAGACAAATAATTCATACGTCAGGCTATGTTTTTTATTGACGGTTTACTTGGTGAATGATAGCTACATAGCTTTGACAGCCGCTAACCTTCAGCTGTTTGCTCACGTCTATAATTAAGCAACTTCCGCATGCTGGCAATTACCTTCTACGATTTTAGGTATCGGAAGAATCATTTGCAGAATGCAAGTATGATTCATCAGCAGAATGGATTGGGGAATGTTCTCGTGGGTTGAAATATGTGACAGTTTTTCTACGAAATGGCCCCACACAAACCGTTTTCTATCCAAACAAGACATATTTCTTTACGTGTAAGTTCCATTTTTTTTCACATGTAAGTTCCTTTTTTGTGGACTATAAATTTCTGATTATATTTTTAGTATACATAGTATTTAAATTTCAGCCTTTTCGTCTGGCACGAGATATGGAGTACGAGATAGATCAGGTGGTCTTTGTGAGAGGGGAGTACGGCTTATCGTAAGTTCTTTTACAATACATAACAATTTTGCATCATGTAATCTCACACCGCTCTTCATACTTCAATCGTATCTGCGGGTCCTTGTTGAAGAAGCGCTCACCATTCCTGTGCGCGTTTGCGTTTCAGTTGTAAATGGTATTTCGCGCGATTACGCTGATCCTCTGTTATCTTTTTATGGTCGCAGGTAGGTGACACTCTTAGCCCTATATGTGCACCCAAATTTATAATATAGGGTTGTAACGTGGTCGTGGTCGTGGCTTTGGTAAATTCCAAATTAGTTTTAGAAATTACAGCTCGAGCTTCGTGATTCTTCTGCTCGTATTCCTCTGAAACCCGGTTTCAGCAATGGTTTGCAAGAGCTGCAGGTATTTATTTATTTATTTACTTCAAATTCAATCTGATTTTTTGGATACTTTTTCTGCATGTATCGCAAGTTACGCATCAGATCTTAGCTTTCGCTATGCTACTATGCTTAGGTTCCCGTGCAACGCGTTGCTTATGGTGGTATGTCTGAAAAACCACACCATAGACGTCGTAATGATGAACAACTTCTTTCCATGGGAATGCCATTCCCAATCGGAGGTAGCGATTCGGAGTCGAGATCGTATCTTCTTGGCACTGAGGTGGCTTTTGGTATATCAACATACATATATCGTTATTTTGTTCGAAACTGTAGATTCCATTTAGGAAGACGATAATAATGGCCTGTTTGGATGGTTGCAGCGTGCTGTTTCGCGTGAGATCGTTGATGATGATCTAGAAATCCAGGTACTTTTATTGTTAAGTGCAGTTTAAACATTTTTCGGACTTGGCTAAATTCCGTTGCTTAACAGAAAAGACGTATTGATAACGATTATTCGAAATGGGGAACTTTCACGCCACCAGACCTATTCCAATACAACAGTAATTATTTTGTTTTTCTGAATTCAACCAAAAGCGAGTGAGATTCTTCTTGTTTCAGCGGCACAGGAAGTTTTCCACTTGTCTATTATTTCACTGGTTATGCTAATCATGACTGGATTCTGACGAATCCGACAGATTTCAGACCCACTTCCGACGTTTCATGGTATTTGTTTGTTGAATTTACAAAATTCAATTTTTGCCTCGGTCACCAAATGTGTACATTTGTATTATATTTTATTAATTTAGCCTACTTCTAACAGTATAGCTAAAAACCAGTGTACTTTATTTTGGCTACCAGCTTCCATTTACTGTGTTTCTAAAGAAGTGTAGAAATCTATGATTGCTAGTATGTTGTTATACTGTTTCTCAATTTTATCTCAATGTTTTTTTCTGTCTTTTGTTGTTTTGTATTTTTAACAAGGATTTATAGCCTCTAGCTGTTTGTTTATTGTTTATCTCCAAGCTACTTAATCACAGTAAGACGCACGAAGTGAAAATGGCGCAGAGCATATACGCATATAATATAAATGAATCTGTTTGCTACACATCGAGAAGAAATGAACCCGTATTAGTGCTAGACTGACAGCTGACTGCTGTTGATGATTATTGGGTCGTGTCCGGCGGTTAGATCACTCGGATGCCTCTTGAGGCAACATACGTGTGCATGTATGATGTCCCTTGAATGAGGTATAAGATGCTGGGCACGACATGGAATCGCTTAGATGAGGTAGAATAGGCACAGCGATAGAAGAATAGGCAACGCTGATGAAAATGCAGTCGTGGCTTGATCATCTGAAAGGAAGGGACATCTTTTCTGTAACTTCTCTTTTTTTAAAAAACCAACCGTCTAGCTCATCGGTATCTTCACCATCTACATGAATTATGTACATAATAGGAGTGGATGACTCTGCCGTGACTTCTCTTCTATAAAAGAATTAGAACTGATTGTTTGCGTCTACATTACTGGCTTAAGTCTNATGGAATCGCTTAGATGAGGTAGAATAGGCACAGCGATAGAAGAATAGGCAACGCTGATGAAAATGCAGTCGTGGCTTGGTCATCTGAAAAAAGGGACATCTTTTCTGAAGCTTCCCGTTGTCTGGTGTGCTTTTCCAGAAACCAACCGTCTAGCTCATCGGTATCTTCACCATCTACATGAATTATGTACATAATAGGAGTGGATGACTCTGCCGTGACTTCTCTTCTAGAAAAAAATTAGAACTGATTGTTTGCGTCTACATTACTGGCTTAAGTCTGAGACTACTGACAAACTTACTGAGATGTCCGAGCAGCAAATTTCGGGTTCACTTTTTGGATCTCGTGTTTGGGAAGTTCAACCTGAAAGGAATCAGTTGGGATGCCTTTTTTAGACTCAGACACATTTTTTATGCGATTGACAGCCAATTAAAAATTCTCAGTTCTGACCTCAAATTTGATTTTCATTTGCCTATCTGTGCATAACCCATCTTTCCTACGATCAATACCGGTCAGAGTACCATCGGATGTCGCTGGAACAATGGAGTAATATTCACTACTTTGTAGGATTCAGACTTGAGGAAAAGAAAAGAAGTGGTTGAGATTACCGTAATCTAGGCAACTCTCTCACGATTATGTAGCCTGTAGTAATGTAGCCGAGAATCGAAAAAATTTGTTTAAAAATGTAGATTCTAGGCAAAATAGTGCCAAGCAGAACACTATCACACACATGGTTCGACGATCGAACCTCGACTCCATACCCACACAGAACAGCAAAGCTACCGTTTCCTCAGGAGTCGTTTAATTGGTACCAAACTAGTCTAGGAGGATAAAATGAGTGGTCAACTCGGTTGGCTGACAGTAACTTGAACGTAGATCGGACAGGGCATGTCATGTGTAAACCATATATTCAAACGCTAATAACATTCTGATCAAAAGCCAAATGCGTGGCTCAACCCCTAATACGGTACTGATCAACGCCAGTAGAATTCCTCCATCATTCGTTGGATGACGATTTTCGAATTCTTGTGAATCTTGATGATAACTAGGGGTTTCCTGACCACCTTCTTCCATACAGAACTTCTTATTCAATCTTTCTTTTTCAACGTGAGAGACTTTGTAATTTTTCGAAAAATTGTTAGTCTCTGATAATGTATGATAATTATATTAATGTACAAATGGACATTATATTAAAAGAAGCTTACTGATGAAATGATACGTCTTGCCAGGTTCGAATTCCATTCCACCAGGTGTCGGAGTGAACTGCCGGAAAACGACTGTTATGGTCACCTGGAATGTCGGGTTTTATCCCCTGAGAGGACGAATCTCGGCCTAGTAGTGAGAGTAACATCCTTACATCTTGGGTATTATTGTTGCATGAACCGACTAAGTGAGGATTCTGTAGGAAACAGTGCGTGTATTCCTCTTCAGACACCTGAAAGTGTGAAACAAATTTTCATTCAAAAAATGTAAATATATTATTCTTGCTTCAAACCCTAAGGCCTAGTGATTTCATGAATAATAAATTTTTTGAAAAAATAACTGATTATACCATGCCAGTAAAACTTAATTGTGTAGGCATATACTACATTTGTGCCGTAAAATGCAAAAACTTGGGAACGTCACAAAAGGACTCTCGATTAACATGAATACATATGCATAATATATTTTTTGAGGCGGAGGAGATACAACGACAAGGGGTTACTACCATGCACGCATGTGTTCAGGGTATCGCGTTCCGGATCGATACTTGCCCAGGCCAACCGAGCCTTTCATCCTTCTGGAGTAGTTTGTATGACACTAGGCTGGTCTGGGAGAATAAAGGAGGTCTTGAACATCGGCTGGCTACCACTAATTATTGTACAAGCCACATACGCATTCAAAACGCCTCTACGATTCTGAATGGCGAGAAGTGCGGGGTGAATGCCGGAAGCGGGATTGATCAACTTGAGAAGACTTTGAACTTTTCTTGTATATTTATCTTCAATTCGAAGTGTTCTTCAGATTCACACGCATTTGGTCACTACCCTGTCATGGGGTGCGCCATGCATTTGTAATTGAGACGGAAACGGACTAATCGTGAAAAGGTAGGTGTAGGAATTCGATAGAGGGCAACTTTTAGAATCAGTCTCGAATCACCATGGTTTTCAGGAAGATTTTGGGCTAATTTACCCTCGAAGAGCTTTTCAACTGAAGACAATATATTTGGATACGTTAGGAAGCGGTTTAGGAAACCTTCTCCGAAGAAATGTATATCATGTCCTATCTGCAAATTAGCTGCCAAGTCCCCGCTCTAGCAGGAGCAGGACTCCCGCAGCTAATTTTGACCCATGCCAGTAATGTTGACTGGCATGCTGTCTATCATCCAGTATAAATCTGTTCGTAAGCAGTAGTTGTGTCAGCAGAGGTTCGTTAGCATGTAATTGAATTCGAAGCGCATGTATGGAGGGCCGAGCGGATGTTGGACGTGTTCGCTGAACCGCAATGTAATTTCGACCCCTACGAACATTTTTCATGTGAAATCCCCGAATTGGATTTTCAATAGTCGACTTCATATGGAAATTTAAAGCTGGTTTTTACATCGAAGCCCAGACGGACAGGATTAGCCCAAGGTTTGCAACGAAAATTGAGAAACCGTGCAAATGAAGCGGATTCTGGAATTTGGCGATTTTCTGGTGCGATTGCAACCAAGCATTATGAAAATTATAATAACAGANCAAATGTAAATTGGATTTTTCACATAGATTTTGGCAGAGGAGACAACAACTAATGAGTTTCCTTCTGAGTGTTATTTACGAAACTCAAGTAGAAAATCGGTCCTGGTCTTCTGTCAAAATTTTTGTTTACAACTTGCACGTGAACACCTTTAACTAACATTTTTGTCCATAAAAAGTATATATAAATATTTATATTTGTCTACTCTCAGATCAAAACCTTTTTGGAATCTAATGACCGAATCTTTCTGTGATTTTATAACACATCGAAAATCCAAATATGTAGGTCTAAAAGCATTGGGGATTGGTATGGTGGCCTGAGAACATGGTTCCGATCTCTTTCATCGGTCGAATCAAGGAGTTCTATCTCCAAGTCCGTATTCAGTGGTGAAAGGGTGTAATTCATGTTTTTAGGAAGCAAATTCGATAGAAAAGATGACTCTTTGAAACTGGTGTGATTTTCCACATCTAAAATGTCTCCTAGCCAGTAATTGGAAAAAAATGCTTAAAACCAAGTTCTATTCAAAAGAGGAACACTTTTCAGTCCCTGAATTCCTTTTTTGATGGCATGGTCGTAAACGTGGTCCTCGGATTTGATGGATGGCTACGAGAGGCTAATCAAGACGATCACGATCGTTGAGGTCAACATCCTCTCAATCACATTACCCTCTCGATCTGGTTATGTAACATAACATCGGGACGTTCATTAGTGCCATGTCGTTGCGCATGTGGAATGTCAAAACAAGACGATTCGAGATTGTAGTTCATAAGTAAAAAGCCTAACTGAGGTTCCCCAATTTTAGTTAACCCTGTTTCTAGAAAGCGCCCAGTATTTCACTTCCATTCAAAATCGTAGCACCGTTTGAATGCGAATGCGGCCTTATGCAGTGACTTGCGCTGGCCAGCCAATGCATAGGACAGAACTTTTATCTCCCCAGGCAAGCCTGGCATCAGTTATCAGAGGGATGGAAGGCCTGGTTAGTCCAAGAGGCTACCGATCCCGGATCCGGTTCCAGATCGGTACCCTCTTAGGATGATCACACCATGGTGATCCACCTACCGCAACTTCTACAGCTCCGATGAATATTTACTTTATTACAATATTGGGAATATTGAGGTATATACTCTTAAATTGGAAGGATGCACTCAATAACAAGGCCAAGGTGGGCACCTGTCACCAAATCCTACGTCGATACCTTTATAGCTCACCCAAGTCTTATAACCGTTTGAAAACGGCCAGTCGGTACGAGGCACTTAAGAGAGAATAAAAGCTTCCCTGAACTGCATTTTAGGAGCCGAGTTGTATTGAGTTTTAGGCCAATGCCGAGAAAATAGGTTCTAACATAAGCAAAAATAAACTCCTCAGCAGGTCTTCGAGTCAGATAGCCTTGAAAATTGAGTATTCGTTTAGAAGTCCATTTAGAATGTCTCAGAAACCAAACAACTGCAAGAAAAGGATCCTGGCAGCCTTTAATATCTTCGTAAAACCAGTTCACCCATCAAGACTTTACTATAAACCCCTTCTGAATTGCCGCTCACACCACCGAACCCCTCAGACAATCTCAGTCTAGTGCAGTGCTCTCGAAGAAATACGAATCCGTTGGAACCAGTTGAAAATATTTGCTCGGAATGCTGTTCGTAAAGTGTTGAGACATACGTAATCCTTTTGGGACCATAATGGAACGTGCCATTAGTTACGGTACCCGCCAATCTGAGCGGGTTTGCTTAGGGGATTGGGACGGTAACCATCTTAGAAAATGGTTTGGTATGTCTCGTATTGTTTACATAGCAACAGTGACCGGTAGCTGAGCGCGAGGATGAAGAGACCACTTGATGAGCAGCTACACAAAAACATCCGACACTCTTCATCTGCGCCCAATCATCAAACATAACTGGTTTAAGATGTCAGTTACACTGTCTGTCGGATAAGCTCTTGAATCTTACGATGGAAAGATCGGGAAACAACACAAAGGACTAAATCAGAGAGGATGTTTACTGCAAAGTCAAAGTGCAAGTACATTTCGTCATAAAATTTCGAAAACTGCATTACGCCTTTGATTTGCAGAAAGCTTTGAGTTTGGAGGGTCTTTGGAGGAATCGAAGACCTCTGTGTGAAGGACAAGCCGGAAAGATGGTAGGACCGATATCACCGATATGAATTGTCGAAGACGATCCTTGAGTAGGAAAGTATCTACAGCCTTACCAGACGGAACCAAACGGATGGGGGTACATACTGAGCACATCCTTCTGAAATTGATTTGGTTGCTTGTCGTTGATCGTTCCCTCTTCGGGAGACGCACAGCCGTCTACTTCCATTCAGAATCGCAGTAGCATTCGAATGGCTGTATGGCTTACACAATATCTTGCGGTGGCCAGCCGATGTATAAATCAGAGCTTTTTTTTCCTAGACCAGTCTGGAACCACTTAAACAACCCAGCACGGCTTCCTTGGACGTGTATGATGCCGGGTTTCGAGCTGCAGACTATGCGTGTGACTGTGGGCCACTTACCTGTACACTACCACCAACATCGGCCATCAAATCGAAAAATTTCATGTCTTAAGGGAAAGCAATCAACGAGATAATTCTAGGCCCATCCATTTCTGAACCCCGTTATTGTAGCCTTTTACTATGGGGTGCGATCCGGAAACTTTGCAAAACTCTAGGTGCGCAATCCGAGACGTCAAAACAACTACGAAAAGATCCAGAATTTAAGGTAAGCGAGTGTTATGCTTGCTCATTTAGCGGAAAAGTTATAGAACGTGAGAGGCTTCTGTAGACTTGAGTGACCAGTCAGAAGGACGAAATTGTGAAGCCTACGTTTTGTGAAGTGCTTACGCCCAGATTCGATATCAATCTTCTGCACGAAAATGATCGCTAGTAGCAGAGTCTCGACGTCTTTCTTTGATCCTACGGAAAAACCATTTCATTTGCCCTTTATTTCTTCAAAGTCTTTCTTTCACGATGTACAACTGGCTTGGTTTTTAGCTTCTATTTTTGCGTCCACGGCCTTGACAGCCTGTCACTTTGGTCAGACGTTCGCCAGTGACGGTATAAATCTCTTTCTCTAGAGTGGTCTAGTTTTTGCTTCTCCCCAAAGTCATGGCTCGCCTGTGTATCGGGTTCTCAGGGCAGCCAGACTGTAAGGCCTCTGTAATTGTGCTGGTAATACTGCGGTACTGTATGATCCATAAATGGAAGAAAGAGGATGTCGTTCCCAGTTTGTAGAAGCTCCAGAAAAGGCAAAAGCACTTTGTTCGGCTGTCCAGAACGTGAACAAGAATGGGCAATGTATGTACAAGGGTTCTGTACTGGTACAAATTTTTGAGATTACCTCTTCCCGAATAAAAATATTTGAAGAGTATCTCGTAAGTAAAAGCTTTAGCTTGCACCTCGCAACACTACTGCTCCCGCAAGGCTCTCTACAGGAAACATGGGCATTGAAATACGGCTGCGATTAGGTGGAGTACCCCACAAACGAAATGGATCAACAATGAAGGGCCCTATCCCTACTTCCTTTCAGGCTGAGTGCATATTTGATGGTAGTCCTTTAAGTAGTATCCATTCTGCCTTCTGATGAATCCTATCAAAAATAGGATATATTCGAAAGTAAGGAGTAAAGATACAAAGTACAGGACACCCTATTCGTACAGCTCCAACCATAGGGAACCAGAACTCCACATCCTCCAAATCCTTCAGGTTTCCAAGGTCCAACTTATTCCTTAGGTCTTCTTTCCATCTCAACCTCCTTATCCACCTCCATCCCAACTCCAGTCAAAATCCTCTGAGAGGGGTAAAGTACAAAACAATTCCAATCACATTTTGAGCAATTCAAAGGGAACGCAGACAATCGGACATTTTGTTCCATTTCATTTTTTTAGCAACAGAACGCTCCACTAAAGAGTGACACTGACCTCAATTGGATCCGATCCCAAGCATTTTGGCTGAAATTAATCAAGGGAAAAGGTCTTTGATGTCCGAAAAAATCGCATTTCGTACTATCTTTGCAAACCCTCAACGCTTGCTTCCCCAGCGAGAGGAAAAAAATCTGGCAGCCCACCAACAGACAATGTTGTCACAGAGACGACCGATTATACAAATATGTACCTAACGATTGGGCGAAGCTTAATATGTCACATCTTGAGGACATCCCTTCGGTACAGATATTTTCTGAAAGGACATCCTGTTGTCCATCAATTACTGAAACTCGACAAGATTCTGTGACAATAAATCACCGGAAAACTCTTATCTCTCAATTTTGGTTATGTCCAGTTCTTGCAGAACCTGGTAGGCTCAGACTTAGCTCAGGCTTTACCTATTACTCACTGAGGCTTCAGGAATTCCATTACTGAGGTATCAAATCCAAATCGTATAGATACTCGACGAGCTTTTTGGCGGTCACAATTCTACCTTCACTGTGGACTGGCTGAAGCTGGCTGGATGCTCACTGTGTACAGGATCTAAGGCACTCCGTTGCCTTCACGATCAGAAATAGGGTTAAACGGTTATCGCACCCTTAAAACGATGAACAGCTTTCAGTCACCTCA